GGAGAGGCTACCTGGGAACTACATGTAGCCACCTTGAGTTCCACAATGGGAAAAAGGTGGAATATAAATATAATATTATAAATATTATAATATAAATATAATAATATGTGGGTAAATAAATAAAATAAATCTGTTTCTCACCACTGCCACCACTTGCTTACTTGACAGCAGAGAGCTACTGAGCACAATTCACAGTGCTATCTACTGCTTTTCCTTCTCACCAGCACTGATGTCTGACCCAGAGGGGGAGGCATATGAGCACACAAGATGCCATGATGAAGAGGAGGAGCAAGTCCATGCTCCTTTTGTCAGTTGGCCCCGCTGGGTGGTGTACCCTTTATGTAGGTCCTCCTCTATCTTCCTTCAGATTTTCATCTTGCAATGGTGCAGCAGCCAATTCCTCCTCCAGTGTTATGGTGCTGGTACTGAGTCCCTCATTTAAAATTTGCTCATTCCTGACTCTTCCTTCTTTTCAATAGCTTTTGCTTCAGTTTGTAGAGTCCAGAGTCTGATATCTATGCACAGAATTCCCTGCAAGAAATTCATACCTTTGGGAGTGAATGTGTAATATGTGAGAAATACTTGAAGAGAGCTGGTGCAAAAAGTGTGAAGCAGGAGGGCTGGAATTTTAGCCAAAGAGCAACACTGGCTTGTTTTTCTTCTTAGCAGAAGGCCATAAAAATAAGCACTAGATTTTGTCAGACTTGTGACAGGATCTGATAGTTCTCTAGAAAAAGCTTCTGTTTATTTTAATTTTAATTTTTTGTTAAGGACTATTTATGCAAGTATACAAAGGAAGGTGGAAATTCTCCAAACTCTAGGCCTTTAGGTATGTTTACTTTTTCTACAACTATGAATTGTTCTCAGAACATGGAGATCTTTCTTGTAAGCAACTTGATCTCTGTAATAATTGGTCAATGCTGTTAATGGTCACAATCTAGAGAACCTGTTCTGCTTTTGAAAACCAGCATATGCCATGAGAAGCAGTTCTTTTTCTTACTTGAGCAGTTTGTACAAGAACTTTTCCTCATGCAAAGAAAATTAAAACAATATAACATTTGTTCCATGTGCATAAGAGTTTCATATAGTTCGTTTGTTTCCCTTCTGTACCTCACATTATCCAGTTGCTTGGGCTGGGACTGGTACATATGGATGGGCAATGTAATCTGTTGCACACTCAGATTCATGTCCCTTGGGTTATAGATTTCTGAATGCAGGACTTCGTTTTCAATCCCTTCCTCTGTTTTGCTCTTCATTTGCAATTGTTGCTTTATCCTAAACTGAGCTTCCTCAATATGTGTGAGTGCTGGTGCCCTTAAATTGACATCTTCGAAGTTTTTATAAGTGGCCTTGCCTACAAAGAAATGAAATGTTACCTGTTCCATTTTAATAAGCAGCCTGTCTTCCAAAGATTTAGGAAAAACAGAAAGTTAAATTCAAACTACAGTGAATACACTGGATTGTTGTGCTTTTCTCTTGTAAAAGTTGTAAGTAACCTGACTGAAAACAACCAAGCTTACCTGATATTAGTGAACTCAAAGGCACCTTGGAATTCCCTCTTGTGCATGCTAAATTTGATAGACATTTTGGGGTAACTGGCAATGCTTCTGCATGGTCTGTGTTTCAATCATTTGCTGAGTCATGCCCACCCAGTAAGTTTTAAATCTCTGTGCTGTTGAGTCACAAGCAGGCAGCATCTACTTGTTCTCATTTCGAACTTTCCCCACAGGACTTTAGAGTAATGATTTGGCATCAGCATATAGGTGCAATAAAAGAGACTAAAGGGAAACTCAAGCAAGTTTAGCATTTTCCACAATGGAGCAGTGGGTGTATTCGCAAAGAAAAAAGCCCTAAGCCATTAGTCCTCAGATTCCTGGTTTATCCTTCACAAGCAAATATGCTGGTGCTCCTACCCATCCTCTCCTGCTTTGGCTTCTCCTATATGCAAGAGGTATAGGAAGGTATATAGGGCAGAAAAACTTAGTATTATATTTGACTCTGGATTTTAGCTTGCACCTTCGCTAACAAGTTTTCTTCTTTAAGCCAGCTTCAATCCCTGGGTTCAAACTTTTGCTTATCAGACAAGCCAGGACTCCCAGTTTGGATGTAATGCTGAGCTTTTCCATCTTAGCGGGTTCATGACTAATTTAACCAAACCTTCCCCAATATGGTGCCCTCCAGATGTTTTATACCGCAATTCACAGCATTATTGACCATTGGCTATGCTGGTTTGGCTTGGAAGGTGCCAGTGGGGAAGGCTGGTCTGGCCACTTCTGTTTGCAGGAGGCACCAAGCTGGAGCAGCCAGGCTGTGTGTGTCAGCATGCATGACCAGTAGACCAAGATTCTGAGGAATTCTGGCCAGATGTTCTGTGTAAATGCAGCAAGTGCGTCTGTAAGCAAGCTTCCTGGGTTTTATTTCTTTTTAAAAAGCAAATATATAGAATAATAGAATTGGGAAAGACCAGTAAGGACATTGGACCCAACCCACTTGCTCAGTGCAGAACTCCAAGTCAAATCATATCTGCTTGGCCAGATTAAATACCAGTGCTATCAGTGAAGATCAGTACTACATTCCAGTTCAATACAAAACTTGAACTGCAAGTGAGAGCAGGATACTGCTGGGTTCAAATGTAGACCTGCTCTAATCATATCTAATGTGAGGTTCTAGAGTGTGCTTTCAAGTGCCAAAGGGGTATGCAGAATGAGGTGCTGGATCTTCCTCCCTTAAATTTTCTTTCCTTGCCCTGGGTAATTCTGCCCACTCCCAAAGTCGATCTCATTTATTGTCTGGAACCCAAACAGAAGAATGGGAAAGACAGATTATAAAGCCAACAGGAGCACATGCACACACTCTCTCTCTCTCTCTCGCTCTCTCATGTACCCTTTTATCGCTTTAAATGTCGTGCCATCTCTGCTTTAATCTTTCTTGGCATGCAGTTGGCTCTTAATACAGTCTGCTGTCATACATAGTTTGGGCTTAAGTAATCATAAACCAACAGAGCTGGCTCTGTGGGAGGCTACAGTGGAATAGAGAACTGAGAATTCTGAAAGTATCAAGCATTTGCATGGTGCTCATCACCATAACATTCTGGCAAAGTGCTTATATGACATTCCCTAATCCAAAACTCCATTGTACAATGGTGAAAGGTCATCCACCCTATTTAAATGTTACATATATTATCATTTAAAAAATAAGTAGAACTGCATACACTATACACCCTGCAGTCTCACACTCATTACAACTTTATGATAATTCCTACTCACTGTAATTGTGTACGTGTGCATATCTCTTGTAATAAAAGTGGGTCTGGGTCTGCCCATCTGTCAGTGCCATAGTAACAAGACGGTGAAGCATAGACACCTGAAACTTAACAAGCATGAAGGGGAACCCTAGGGGTGACTGATTCGGAGTTATTCGGTTCCTAAAGCACATACATTAATTTTAATTTTAATGTGTCTGAAGCATTTTAATTTCGTTTATTAAATTTCTTATTGCCCATTAGCCAAAACTTTCTGGGGACAGTTCTGTGACCAGCACATTGCTTTCCAGTCCATACAGTTTGAAGCTTGGTAGACCACCGTGAAGCAGCCCATCCCTAGGGGAATGCCATGAACAAGCCACTCCCTTGTGGGTGGGTGGCAGAGTCTGTGCTAAGGGACTGCCATCAGGCATGGCTTCCCTTGGATATTATGGGCACAGTGTGCCCCAACTAACAGGCCTGTGAGTTTGCTTGAATATTGCTGTACCAAATGAAAGGAAATTCCAGTGTGTGTGAAGCTGGGTTCTTTTGGTAGTATAAATAGAAATAATTAAGTTCTTTAAGGACAACGGTATAACAGATTGCCACCACCACACCAAGTTCCAGTGATGTGAAGTAGAGAGCCGCAGGTCCTGAACACAGATAATTTTGTTTTGGCTTCAATTGACTGCAATGCCCTTGTAACGTAATGTGGGGTAGGTCATGTGCAAGCATTTACTGGGAAAGGGTACATGTGGAAGGACTTTGACTTCTTGGCCACTCCCAACTTGTAGTCAGCATGGAAATTCCATTCCACTCCTTTGTTACTCAGTGCAAACATTAGAACGGCACAGCATCAAGAATTTCTTTTGATACCTAAAATATGGAAATAGACCAAGATGGGGAATAGGGTAAATAAACACTCTGAAATCTTTACTTTACAATAGCCTTCTCTTTAGGAGACTGGACTGCACCCCAAGCCCTCGGACTGTTCTGTGATGGAAACTGAAATGCATTGGTCAATCCATTGCTTCATATAACTCAAAAAAGTCTGTGCTCAGCCTTAGTTGATTTAGCAAATGTTTCTGTGCAAGGTACAGAGTGAACATAGTTCAGTAGCAGAACCCACTCCCTGCATCCAGTTAAAAAGACTACAAGTTCAGCAGGGCTGGGGAAAATATTCCGCCTGCAACTTTGGAAACCCACTGACTGAGTAGTCCAGTGGTTCCTTACCTTGCATCCCCAGATGCTGGACTACTCCAGCTGTGGCATTGCTAAGAAGGACTGTGGCTCCCTGGCAGAGCACATGCATTCCATGCAGAAGATCTCAAGAGCCACCCTCCAGGCAGGGCTGGAAAGATCCCAGATCCCAGATCTCATTCTACCACTACACTAGACTGGCTCTCTAGGTGGGGTTAATGATGTTTTAGTCCAAAACATGTTTGGATCACAGTTTGGAAACTACTGGAGTTGACAGTACTGGACCAGATAGATCCAGTGACTTGAAGTACTAGAAAATGCTCCATATGTTGACTTCAATGGTTTTGAGAAAGGTCAGCTCGTGGCCTGTAATTTAACAACTCCTGGGGCAGGATGAACAAATGGCTTTGCCCAAAATGTCAGGGTCATACCTTCACCAATGCTCCATGAAAAAACTATCTCTGGAAAATATCCTCTTCATCTTAGTGACCATCCCTGGAAAACATTGGTTTTATCCTTCATGAAATAACCCAATTTCCTATCTTTATTTTTTTTCCAGCTTGACCTTACCAAACCAATAGAAGATCAGGGCCCATTAGATGTCATCATTCATAAACTGACAGATGTCATCATTGAAGCTGACCAAAATGACAGCCAGTCACTGGAGTTGGTTCACAGGTTCCAGGTCAGTCATGTTTGTTTCTGTTCTAATGATGAATGAGAAGTGCATTAATAATGGCTGGAGAATAGGATTTGTTTTATGCCATGCCAACAATTTTTTAAAAAAATCTTTATTTTCACTGTGCTTTAACTATCCAGTTGTACAGCTTGCTGTAAGTAATGCTGTCGGCCTGTGCTAGGGAACAGAATTAAAACAAGTTCTGCAAAGTAGAAGAATAAGTAACCTCTTCTTGCTCTTCGGTTTGTGCTAGGCTTTGCCAAACTGATTTTACCTGCAGGAAGATACCTTTAATGCAGATGTTGGCTGCCTATGGGGTTATCACAAAGAAGACTTCATTTCTTATGTTCATTAGTCTAAGTAATTTTTACCAAAAATGCATAAGAAGGACCTCTGAGGCAGATCTTAGCATACGGGCAATGTCAAATAAGAGAGAACAGTCCTTAAGGTAGCCTAGCCCTAATTGGGTTAAGGCTTTAAAGGTTAGCACGAGCACTTTGAATTTGCCTTGAAATGTACTGGTAACCAATGCAGATGACCCAAAAATAGTGTTGTTACATGTTCCAACCTTCTGACTGGCTCCCTTTAGCACTTAGGTGGCTACATTTAACTGAATCATCTTCAGGAGTAGCCCCATTGATAAGGCATTACCACAATCCAGCTTGAAGGCAGCTGTTGCAGGGGTAACCAAGGCTAGGTCCACTCAGCCCCCACAGCAGAAAATTTCTCTCTTCACTGCTTCCTTTCCTAATGTGTGCAAGTTGCTTCTTTGAGTCATAGCATGTTTTTGCACACTTACGTTAGAAACAGTACATAGAAACAGTACACCCGTTTGATGTATTTTAATGAAGAGTCTTGTCGTACCTTAAAGATTAACAGGTCTATTTTAGCACAAGCTTTTGTGGGCTGTAGTCTACATCGTGTATCATGGTTCTTCTGTGCATCACTTTCTGAGGGCTTCAGAAGAGAAAGAAAGAAGGAATCTAATAGCTAGTTTCATTCTTAAGCCAAGCAGTAATGTGTATAAAATGCCATGTTGTCTACAGCAAAAGTTAAAATTGAATGACTTCAGGAAGCCAAAGACATGTATTAGTTACCTTTAAAAGTACAACATCTGTTACTTGTACCCTTGCTTATTCCTTGCATTTCTTTTTTGAGGGCCAGGCAGTTTTTTAAAAAGTACTTGAGATGGCAACTGCAAGTCATGAACACAGTATTGCTGAGATGTTTACTTTTTCTGGGCTGTACCTTCAGGGACAAACATCAAAGTGAAAGAGGAATGCCACCTGTTAGAGTCCACAATTGGGCAATTTTTACATTCAAAGCCAATTGGTTTTGAACCAATGCTCATGTAGCTTTAAAATGCTTGCTCTTGCCATGTGAGCTCCATGTATTAAATAGCTCTGTTGAAAACAAACTCTCAGTTGTTGAGTGTTGAAAGGCGGGTGCTATTTCAACAAAATACAGAAGGACCTTTGCACAATGGTTACAGCCAATTGCCAAATTTCAAATAAACAAAGAAATTGAATTATTGAATGCAGAGATCATTCTATTCTGTACTTTCTCCATAAATGCACAGTAAACTATATGTAGTTTAAGAATTGTCTTGCATAATTATGTAAACCAATTACAAAGGAGTAGGATAGTAGAGGACAGGAGAGCCTGGAGGAATGTTGTTCATGGGGTCGTAATGGGTCAGGCACAACTTTGCGACTAAACAACAAAACAAGGTATTCCTATTTTCTATAAGCCAAATCAGAGGTGCTTGTGGATGCACCATATTTATTTATTATTTATTTATTAAAACATTTTTATGCCACCCCATTCGCCAAAGCCTCGGGGTGGCTTACAACAATAAAATAATAATCATAATCATAAATTAAAAATATAAACATTAGAATAAAATAGAAACATACAATATAAAATAAGCCACCCTGGCCAGATAAAATTCAATAATATTAACATTTAAAATGCCGCTTAAATAAAAAGGTCTTCGCCTGGCGCCAGAAAACAAATAACGACGGCGCCAGGCGGACCTCTCTGGGGAGTGCATTCCATAACTTAGGCGCCACCGCAGCGAAAGCCCTCCTCCGAGTCCCCACCCTCCTAATTTCTTTCACGGAGGATTCCCGGAGAAGGGCCTCTCCCGCCAATCTCAGGGGGCGGCTGGGCATATATGGACGTAAGCGCTCCTTTAGGTAACCAGGACCCAAGCTGTTTAGGGCTTTATTGGTCATCACCAACACCTTGAATTGGGCCCGGACTTCAATGGGAAGCCAGTGAAGCTGATGGAGAACTGGAGTCATGTGGACATAATGCCCAGTCCCCGTCAGCAGCCTGGCAGCTCTATTTTGAACCAATTGAAGTATCCGGACCATCTTCAAGGGTAGCCCCACGTAGAGCGCATTACAGAAGTCAAGATGGGAAGTCACCAGCGCATGTGTCACTGTCGCGAGGCAGTCGTACTCCAAGTAGGGGCACAGCTGATGAATCAGCCGAAGCTGGAGGAAAGCGCTCCTCACCACTGCTGTTACCTGAGCTTCCAGTGAAAGCTCCGGGTCGAGGAGCACTCCTAAGCTGCGGACCTTGTCCCTAAGAGGGAGTGCAACCCCGTTCAGGACAAGGTTCAGTTCACCCTCTCCAAAGTCCGATCCACCAACCAACAGGACCTCCGTCTTGTCTGGATTGAGCTTCAGTTTATTGGCCCTCATCCAGCCCATTATCTCGGCCAGGCATCGGTTCAGTACAGCCACTGCCTCACCTGGATTGGTGGAAAATGAGAGGTAGAGCTGGGTATCCTCAGCGTACTGATGGTTCCGCAGCCCACACCTCCTGATGACCTCTCCCAGCGGTTTCATGTAGATGTTGAACAGCAAAGGGGACAAAATGGACCCCTGCGGTACTCCATGGCATAACTGCCATGGCGCAGAGCCATAGTCCCCCAGCACCACCTTCTGAGATCAGCCATTGAGATAGGAGCGGAACCACTGCAAAGCAGTGCCTCCGACCCCCAATCCCGCAAGCCTATCCAGAAGGATACCATGGTCAATGGTATCGAAAGCCGCTGAGAGGTCCAGGAGAACCAACAGGGACGCACTCCCCCATCCTTCTCCCTGCACAGGTCATCGTACAGGGCGACCAAGGCAGATTCAGTACCATACCCAGGTCTGAAGCCGGACTGAAATGGGTCCAGATAATCCATAGAACTGTATCTGGCCGATCCATAGATCTCTGTGTCTCTTGTTCATTTGGGCTAGTTCCCGCTTTCTCCAAGTTAGTTACTAGGTGAATTATGTCCCAAAATTCACCACTGGGTACCACTTTACATGGCTGACTTCTGCCTGGTCAGCCTTATAGGCTTCTTGTTGAAAGTTAGTGTGAAAGGAATAATGAATTTTACATTACATGTATACCCTGCCTTTTTTCCTCTTGCAAGGAACCCAAGGTGGTTTAAATGATTCCCCTCATCCTCATAATAACCTTGTGAGTTAGGTTATGCTGAGAGCCAGTGACTGGCCCAAAGCCACCAGTGAGCTTCATGGCCAAGTGAAGACTAGAACTTGGATCCCCGAAGTCCCACTCCTCACTGTAACAACTACACTGACTCTCACATCATGCAGCACTTACAAGTAATATCCTACTTCTGATTGCTTTATGATGGAAAACTTCTCCCATGGGTTGTAAACTTTCCTTGATAACAATCAGCAGCAATAAATGTTTAGCAGTGCCTGGCTATGTACAAATATCATTAATCTGGCCGAATTACGTGACATCTTTGGATACCCCCTGAGCTCATCACTAGATAATCAGTGTTCTAATGAATTATTCACATAAATAAAAAACTTTGCCCCCTTGCTTTTTGCTAGGCTCAGCACCAACAAGTTTATGAGGTTTTCTGATGCTGGAACTGCACATTTTAAACCTTGTAAGAGCTTATACATGGACTTTAGTGTAACCAAAAGTAACAGGCTAGATTTGGAGTGTCTGTGGGCTACAGAAGTTTGCTCCTACTGTAGCAGAATTCTGGAATGGAACTTTTCTCCCATTGAATGAATGATTTCTGTCACTAAGGTTCTTGCACTGTTGTTCTCCGGGCTTCAAATCTTGTGTTTGTCCTTGAATACATAAAAATGTGCTAATGGGAGCAGGAGTCCTTTCCACTGATAGTTGGACACTGTTGGATTTCACTCAGTAGCAGTAATCAAGGGATAATAATGACAAAACTTTTTACAATTTCTAGGTGCTTTCCAATGGTTTTACTAAAAAGAATCAGCTATGCCCACAAATATACTTTTTTCAAAATGACAAGAGTTTTTTAAAATGATTCTTAAAAAGTGGGGAATGGGAAACAGAGTTTAGAGGTCAGTGGGTTGTAAGAGGAAAAACATTTTCAAATACTGTGCTAAAACTCTTGCACAGGGAAAGTTGGGAATTCCTTAGAAAAGAAACAATAGGACAAATGGCATATAGGCATGAAATAGAGGAAACAGCTTTAACAGAAAGCAAAATATCAATAGAATGATGAGACCAAGAGGGCAAAAAGAGAAGATAAGAGGAAGAGAAAAGGTTTTTAAAATTCTGATAAAGGAAATGGAGTCCATTGAAGGATCCTAACAAAGGAAAACCATGGGGAAAAATTAGGTAGCAGATAACACTAAAAACAAGCAACCATGTTAAGAACAGGGATGAAGATGCAGTATGGAAAGAAGCATTACAATAATGGAAAAGAGACTCAGAGACAAAACCACTGTCATAGAAAAGGACTCCCCACTGCCACCTAGGTTTGTACCAAATCAGGGAAATCTAGCTTGTTTGAGCTTCATGGAGTTCCTGCCCTCTTCCAGTTCAGTGATCTGAAGCAGGCCTAGTTGGGGTGAGTGTTTCAGAGACCTCCTTGCCTAAGGCAGAGTGTAATTTCAGCAAACACGAAGCTCTAGTGTGATTGTTGCAAAATAAGTCGATTTGTGTAAATCACAATTCATGTAAAGTGCTACTCTGCACAAATC